GTTTCCAAAGAAGGAAAAACTGTAGTCCCAAAAAACTGATATGTCATGACCATCAACACCAGAATAAGTTAAACCAGAAAGTATATGAATTCTATAAAAAAGAAAAATATTGATTTAATAAAAAAAAGAGACTAAAATATAGCATGTGATTAATAGTGAACAGTTGCATCAAAGTCGTTGAATTGATTATTGAATGAAAGTGCAAAGATTTTTTTTGTTGCTCTGTATTAATTTTCAAAGATATGGAAAATCTGCATTCTTGAGGATTCATTTGGGCTGCTGAGAATGCTGTGGAACCCAGGAGCAGCCCAGCCAAGCAGCTGAAGCACTTGTGCTCCTCTGCTCTCACGTTCTCCCAGCCCCTGCTCCCCCTCTTGGAGATTTGCAGATCTCTGAAGGCTGAACATTCATTAAAGTTAGAAGACAGAATTTAAAAATGGGACCACTAAGCCATCCAAACCTAAGAGGGCAATGATGCCATTTACCTATCAATGAATGTATCAGTTCCAGGTATTTATAGATGAAATTGAGTTTGCCAGTTTGAGCATATGGGAATAACTTTAGCTTCCTTGACTTTTTATTTTAATGCAATATGTGGTAGATACAGTAACTTATTTTTAAAACCCACAAAACACAAGCTTAATTTCCTCCTACATATAAAAAGATCTCAATTTATACACTTCCATGGAAATAGAGTGTTCAGCTTCCTGCTAAACTGTTAGCATGTTTCTGCCAATTTCTCAAAATGTTTTCCTTTACCCTTGCTGATTGTGAAAATACTCCAAATCTTGTGGCAAAACACACTGGAAAAGACTAGAGAATGTAAGTAAGTAATATTAATTTTTCATACTGTGAGCTGATATTCATGGACCTTTTCCTATAGATGTGAAAGCTGGGAAATCAGACTATACTAAGGGAAGGCCTGGGCCTCACCAGTAGAAGCCATTTCTTTTCCAACTTGTCTGCCACCATTAAACAATTTTCCATGACCACAAGCCCATCATTCCTGAGAAGCCTCTGTCAACTCCCTTGCAAACTGTAACTGCATTTCCTAACTAAAGACCCATCAAAAATCACTCACTGCTCCCTCAGAACCAGGGTAAGAGCAAAGTGTATGAATTTATATCCTTCACATACAGCTCACATATGATGGACTCGACAAGGGGCCCTGCATCACAGATATTCTCCTACTGACAGTCTAGCTGTGCTCAAGTCACATTTCTATGCAATATGTTTCTAGTAGTCAAAAAAATTATACCATTTGCATGAAAACCTTTCTTCAAAGCCATGACTTTGTTGGAATCACCATCCCACATAAACGATCTGCTCTGATCTACCATAGATGAAAACCAAATGGTCACAGGACAGTGATGATAACTCCCACTTATGCTATTTCCACTGCCTGTCCCTATTATAATAATTGCTCACAACTGGAGAAACAGAAATAAAGGCAAAAATCTATAGTTCTGTTGCCCATTAGCAGTAGAAAAAAACCCCTAAGATCAATAAAAATCTTTGAGGGTAAGTTTGGAATAATCTTAATTTTCTTCACCCCTGAAATAGTAACTTCACTTTTAGTAGCTGCTTCATCCTCTTCTTGTTTACCAGATGCAGACAGTGAGCTACAGCAAAATAAAAACAGACCTGTCTTTCCCCTTCCAGCCTGTACTCCTGCCTGCTTCTTCATATGGTTTTATTTTTAAACATTTTCCCATAAGATGTAACTTACTTTAGGGCTTACTTGAAGGAAGCTCCCAACAAGTTCCCATATGCGATTGCTTAACCCAGAACAGCTGAGCTTTGTAAATCAGCAGCAGACCCAGCAGCACTCTCTGCCCGCTCAGGCTGATGGGCTTTGCCTTTTGTAGTGCAGTCTGCTCACTAATGAGGAGCTGGCACAACGTCCCCTGGACCTCATTAAATGGGCTTATTTTGGCCTGATGGAACCTCACCTCAGGAGTGGGCACAGAGGCTGCATGAACAGGGCTCTGTCTCCCTGCAGACCTGGGGTCTTCCTGAAGAGTTTTAGAGTCGAGTTTGCTCCCTGTCACTCTCTCTCCTGTTGTGACATAAAGTTTCAATGGCACTGCAGTGGTTTACCTCAGGAACTTGTCAATGATCACACCAAAGAGGCTCAGTCCCAGCCTAGGAGCTCAGGAGTCACTCCCATGGCAGTGTGTCCCTGCACTGACGGTCTCCAAACACTGCTGCCCTTCTCAGCCTGCTCTGCAGAGCTGCCAGTTTTGAGCTTAACAAACTGCACTGACGTCTTCCCAAGGTAAGGGAAATTACCTGAGCAGCAGCAGAGCCAGCCTGTGCCACACTCTGCTCCAGGCGAGGCAGCCTTGGGGCTGCAGAACAGGGAAAGCCACAAATGCATTAATGTTGCTCTAGTCAAAACTCATTACTTGCTTCTCTCTGGTGTGAGGGAGTCTGGAAGTGAGCAGCAGTCATTAGTGTTTCCTAACCTGCTCTCATTCTCCTCAGCTGTCATGTCCATGTTTGCTCTTTCTAACTCAGACGTGCTGGCAAAAGAGATGCTTATGAAGTGAAGCTCAAGTGCCAAGTAGTCCCTTCAGGCTGCAGATTATTTTGCTTGGATCCTCATCTGCTCTGGCTAAAGAGAAAAAACACTACAAATTTGATCAATCTTTCCTCAGCTCATAGGTAGACAACTTATACTACTATAGAAACCGGAATCTGAGGCTGTGGCTGTACAAAACCTCAAGTTCCTTGAGAAATAACTACCTGAGGAGCACTTGAGCTGTGACAGCAGTGCTTCAAGAAAGATTGTGGAGTCCTCATACCCGGCACAGCTTGATGCACAGTGCCAGCTCTGCACTGCTCAGGGTGTGTGCAGGAGGCCTGTGCAAGCACAGGGGGGGAATAGGTTGGTCAGGAAGAGCCCCTGCTGAATTTTGGACTTTTCCCCTGTTGGGCAGCTGGTACAGGATTGTCAGCAGAAATGGCCTTCTCCAGCCAGATTTTTTTTCATTTAAGTCAGCGAGTGTTGGATTGTACCCAAAGCTGCAGAAGTATTTGGAAAAAGACTAGGGATCATAACTGCAGATTTTCATTAGCAAAGATTAAAAGCTGCTTTGAGTTAGCCTAAATAGGGGCTTTACTTACTAACATAGCATTATCCATTTCCAAGTCCCTCTAAGTGCAGCTGGGCGTGCAGTGTCAGCACGGCTGCAGTTGCTGTCTGGAGACCACCCAAGTTTCTCTACCAGGTTGTGAGCCAGGCTGCACAGGTGGTGTGGAAATGTCCTGCTGCTTGGCTACCCCTGTAGAGCAGGGTGTATGTAAAGAGGTATATGAGCTATGCTCTTCTAAATTAGTAATGATTTATTAATCTGGACAGGGGTATTGTGGCCATGGTCACCTAACAAGAAGTGAGAGAGCTATTTTTGCTCTTCTGTCTTGGTGCAGAAATGTGTTTGACGAGGCTGGTAGCAGGCAGCTTGCTGAGACATCCATCAGAGAAGCTGAAGCTCAGAGCCACAGTGGGGTGTTCATTCCTGACAGCACCCTCAGCCATTCTGACCCCTCAGGGAGTTTGATCTCCTGCTGGCTCAGGGGGCTCAATGCTGCCTTGCTCTTGTCATGCTCTGGCTGTGCTGTCACTTCCATCTAAGCTTTTACTCATGTAACTAAAGCAGTGTACTGAAAAGCACGGGCAAAACTCAAACTTTCTGAAGTGCCTTATTTGACAAAGCTCACAGCTCTGCTACAGCTCTGGTTTATCATAATAAAGTAACTGGTTTAGTGTACACAGATGTGTTCCTTTTCCCTCTCAGTCTCCTGTGCTGCTGATGTATTGCAGTTCCACGATGCATGTCCTGGTAACTGCTCTCACACACTTCCAGCAGACACCTCTCATGGCAGATTGCCATTTGGAAGGTAAGCAGTTTATTCCTATTTTGAGATTTGCCATTCAGCATCTCTGTGAAGCAAACTCACATTAATAAAGGAGAAAGCTGAGCACAGAGTTCCTCTAATACAGTCCAGAAACCAGGCTGCAGATGAGCAGGAGCCCTTAGGGGCTGCAGCAGCATTTCCCTGGTTCTCCCTGTGGAGTGGAACAGCAGCTCAGGACCATGGGCTTAGCCCCAAATAATTTTCCCTACTCGTTCAGTTCATTACTGGGCATAAGCCGTGACTGCCTTGCTTTTACTGGTTTTGATGTTTATTTGATATTTATTTGATGTTTGATGTTTATTTGATGAGACTACTTGCTAACAAAGCTGCATGGAGGTTTAGGAAGCACTTCAAGGTAGCATTAGAAAACTGCCCGGTAGTTTTCCTTAATTTGAATGACACACTTTTGTCTGAGTGCCCCACACTTTGTGTCTGTTACTTTCACAAAATAAAATCAAAAGCAGAAAAGTTCCATCAACTGCACTCCTAGCATAAGGCAGTCCCCAAAGTTCTGTAAGGAGTCATTGCACCCTAAGTCTTTCTGAAATTACCCATCAAAAATTTAATGAAGTATTCAGCTATTTTTTTTTGTTTGGTCCATTCTGCTTAGTTACTGATACAGAAAAAAACATACACCTTGAAGAAATAAGTAGAAAGGGCACTTTAAAAAGTGATGATGATCATATTCTTCTCAGCTGTGTAAATGTCCACTAAAATTAAGATCCAGTGGTGTGTTTCCCATTCTTAATTACAGAACTTAAGCACTGTACATCATCAAGAGTATTTATGAATTGTTCACAAGCAGGCTAACATTTTAATTACCTAAAAAGTGCTGTGATTTTTTTATTTTTGTTTTTTTTTAATATGTTTGTTCACCAAAACCAATCTATGTTGCTAAATTATATTTCTGGTTTAATTAATTTTCATTAGAACCTGCCTAAAATTTAGTCTCTAACTCATAACTTTTACATGTATTCCAGAATAGGCAAAATTAGTTTAAGACTCTTACCCATTTGGAGTGCTGTACCTCTGAGGGTATTTTGCAGATTTTTCTCTTGCCATGAGATCCTGAATTCCCGGAAAGCTGTCTGTAAATAGAGGTCAAGCTGGACTTCTGACAGGCTCTATGGAAAACAGAACAGTGATAGTAAATTAAATAATTACTTTAAAATCAGTGTGCATGAGAAATCTCTTTTTAGATGACTTGTACTGATAGGGGCTTCAGACTGAGCTATTAAACAGATTAGTTCTAGATGGGGACCAGAGCTGCCAGTGCAAACTGCATCCAGCTACAGTCACTAGGTCCCAATGGAAATGTTTATGCATAACCACATCCCTCAAGCAGGCAAAAAAAGTACAAAAATTTTCATTTTTATTATTCAGCTGCTGAATTATTTATCTTCCATTTCAAATTCCAGTATGAATTAAGCTGTGCAATAGACCCCCAGATTCATTGATCTGTTTAAATAAACAATGTGATACATTTAAATAAACAATGTGATACACACTAGGCCACAAGGACCATCAGACACTGATTTCTTTTGTTTCCATTTGTGGAGCAGGCAAATTATATCCTGCAGTCAGAACAGACCCAGCCATGTGATTTCATCAAAGATCTCCATTTGTGGTGGTAAGTGCCACCACACCACTTGATGGTCTGTTTTTCCTAAATGGAAACAGTTCTGGCTCTCAGAAGGAGATGACATTTCCTTAAGAGGATTTGCTACATGTACATTTGTGGTTCTGCCACTGGCACAACACCAGGAAATGCCAAACTCACAGGGCTCACGATTGTATATATGTTAACTACAAACTTGTTTCTCCTTTGAAGGACTTGAAAAGGAGCATGATGGAAACTTTTTACCCATTTGTGATAAGATTTACAGGTTAGGAAGGTTAAATTTATAGGTGGCATTTCCACTCATACAAGAGCAAGATTGTTTCCATGAGAAAAGAGGCACTATTCCCTGGTCTAAATATACATTAAGTAAAAAGACTTCTTGCAGCCAGAGTTTAAAATTCCACAAGAATTGATTGAGCAAACATTCAGCCCCTGCGCCTGGAACACGCAGAGTCCTGGGAGGCACCACAAGGAGCAGATGTAACCTGCTCTTCCACGAGTGCCTCTGCCCCACGGGGGGAAGGATGCTCTGCAGCACAGGGCTCCTGCATCTCCCTAAGGCTGTCCCCACAGCCACCCCGGGCACACAGAGACCACCCAGGTCCAACAGACTCACTGGAGTAAAGCACTGCTCCCTTCTTGGCCCTTAGGTTCAGGCTCTTGAGTCTCTTGATTTGACCTTGGTGTCAAACCCTGCAAAGCACCAAAGCCAAGGCCCTAAAAGCAAAGATCCCATAGCAAGAAAAGGTAGAGGACATTAACTGCCCAGAAGAAAATATGTGAAGGCTTCCCTAACAGAGGCAGAAGGAACCTAATTCCAGGTATCAGCTGTTTAATCCATCTTCAGCAGCTCCCCTAGTCCTCTTGCCATGCAACAGTGACTCTAAGAAAAGAAAAAAAATGTATTTCAAGCAGTCAAGAGGTGTTTATTAATTTTTCTTACATAGTGCAATTTAAAAGCCAGGGAACTTTTTTTTTTCTTTATGTATAAGGCTTTCCTGCCAGAAGTGTTGATATTCCACACAAATGTTTTCTCATTTATTATCAGGAAATAAAGGATTTTTCTTCTACAGCCAGATTATTTAGTTCCCTGAGTACTATTTTTGACTATTGGCAGTCCAACTGGCTGCTATTTATCAGAAAGATAATTTGATCAATACCAGAGCAGGCAGATCAGTGTCCCTCCTCCAGACAGTATTGCAAATGCTTACTTTTAAATGTTTAGAATCAAGGAGGTTATAAACCTACATCATGTGATCAAGCTGAAGGAGCAGCTACATTCAAAAATAGCTAATAATTTACTTACAGCCTTGAGATAATTTCAAAAATGGCTGGTCCCTCTGGCATCTGATTTATCTGCCAGAGCAACATAAACTCAAACAGTATTGTAGAGCAACCCCGTATATTTTCTAAATTTTGTAATATTAAGAGATAACCACATAGATTGACTGAAAAAATGATGACATTTTTGAAAGACAATAAAAACTTCTGTGCTCTAGAGTTGCAAAAAAAAAAATTGAATTTCTCTATATTTAGACATTCTAGGAGTTTTCAGACCATAGGCTTCACACAGTTGGAAAGTTCTTGGTACTCTAAAAGGACTAGAAAATGTGATTCTTTTGTTGAAGATGACACATTCTGGTAATATAACTTACTTCCCCATTGACATCCTCAGGAATATTTTCCTTTGTCTCAGAGGTGGATGTATGCATGTGTGAGTGTTTGGTCTGGCAGAAGATGTTGGAAGGAGCTGCTCACACTTGGACAGAGCTGTTGGTAACTTGTGTGCCTGCATTTCTCATGGAGTAGCAGCTCCTCTGCATGCCTATGATAGAGGTGCTAATTTACATGTGGAAGTGTTAATTAATGGCAATTCATAAGGTCAGCTCTCTACAACTGAAACTCTTTCCCTGTGGAGAGGAACAGAGAGCAGCACTGATGTCAAAGAGCACATGAGAGCCATTGTAGATAAAACAAACAGGCACAGCCATTCCCTGAGCTTCTCTACATTAAAAAAAAAAAAAAAAAATTAGTTTCCAAATAGTTAATATAATTTCTCTCAGATTACAAGTCAGGCAGATCCTCTGCTGCAGAACAGGCATGCCCATTTACTTCATAAAGATTTCACAGATTTATAGGAAAACGTTGTTAATTGGTAACAAAGTGGAAAAGATGCAAAAGAGCCATGGCATTTCTTTCTGTGAAAGAATATGTGAAGCAACTTACAACTCCTGCAATCACTGCCTAAGCACCCTTTCCGAGGGAAGTACTTGCAGGACAGCAGAGTGAAGATCATGAAGATCAAGATGTTCCTTAAGGGCTCCCTGGGCTCTGGGTCAATAGGAATTTGTCTTCAGATCTGTCTCAAATGGCTTATCCCAGTCAAAAATTAAGCCCAGGGAGGATGCTAAGAGGTCGGTTCAGAATGTAATAAAAATTATGTAAAAAAGGTATATTCCCTGGTTTCCTCTCCTGAGTGAGAGGGTGCTAAATCAGCTGAAAGAGCAAGCAGAGAGCTGGCTTTGTTGAATTATGTGACAGAGAAAGAGAAAATCCTTTTTGTAAGCCATTTTTGTACATGGTGAGTCAGGGAATTTACATTTCATTATATGCTCAGCAAGAAGTGTAAAATACAAATCCTTCAAGCAGATGTGAACAGACACTAGGGATCAATCTAATGTTAACTGCAAAAATAATTGATAGGGTATGAATTAATGTTTCATTGTGTCAGATCTATGAAGGCTGGATGATCTCAGACATGCAAATAATATGTCTGTCCAATCTGCCACTTATTTTTGTTGTACAAAAACATGGAGAGAAGAAGCAGAGATGCTGCCAGCTGAGGTGAAGGTGGTGGGTGAGGGAACTCTGGGGTTAGGCTGTAGTTGTTATGCTGTCACTTGGAGAGGGATAGCAGTTACACCTTCTGGTGACAGCTGAGGTCCTGTGTCTAGAAAGCTGCTTCTCTGAATTTTGCCTGTGAGGAAGAGACCAAGCATCCCTCCCCATGTGGAGCAGCTGCAAGAGTGCTCATATGAGCCCTGAAATCCTTATAGGACTGTGCCTGTCTGTATATTTACCAGGAACTCACAGTTTTTGTACTCAGGTTTGGCTTACGCAACTCCTTCCAAACAAATGGAGTTGCAGCTTCTTTATCCATCTGTCATGGTGTGTGCTAGCTGTGCTGCTATAGATCCTTGTATTGACTTAAGCCCTAAAGCTATTAGAGTTTCACGGCTACTAAATTCTCCAACATAATTTTTAGAAATATAAAATAAGGCAGTAAAGTTGTTAACATAGAACTCAGTTGATATATTGTCAGCTTGAGGTATTTCTAAGAATACACATGGCAGAAAAGCAAAACAAAACTAAACAGTAACATAAATTCTGAGTTCATAAAATGTTCAGTGCAATTTGCAGCATTATAGTAGTCACAGTTCTGTCTTATACTGACAGGCAGCATTTAAACATACTTATGTGTGTATATATATATATATATGTATATGTATGTATGTATGTATATGCACGATCCACCCTGCCAGACAAAGCTCTGTGCTGCATAAAGACAGATGGGAAAGAGCTGTGTATTCTGTGCTTGATTGCTGCATTGTGTCAGACTAAGACTGGCCATAGTCATAAAGCTGCTTCATGCAACTATTCATATTTACCTTGAAGTCCTCAAGACAGCCATTGAAACAGTAGTTGTTTTCTTACCCGAGAAAACAAACACAGAGGGTTTGAAAGTATCTGAATTCTTCTGGAAGATGCTGTCATAAGCAAAGATTGCTTAATGTTGCCTTTTCAATCACACAGGCAGATGGGTGGAGTATAGCAGGCACCAGACAGAAAATAAGGCTCTTGGAGCTGGGAGCCAGACCAACATAACATAGCAAAAGCTGGAGGCTAAACCTGTGAATCCTTCCAGAAATAAAGTAGTAGGGATTTAAACTTTGGAGAAATATTACCCTGTAGTAAAAAAATGTGAATCTTCATCAAGAAGTAAATCCAAAACAGGACTATTTTTTTTAAAAGACTTCAAAATTAAACGCTTCTGTCATGCAGTAACTCTGGAGTTTGCAGAGAAGTATAGACCATCTGTTCAAGAGAGCAGTAACACAGTCTGTGCAGCTAATCAGCATGATAGCAGTAGGAAATGATTTCATAGGGGCCTATCACATCTGGTTTTAAAACTAGTAAGTAGACTTTTTTCAGTTTTATTAAGTTTTCTGCATCTTTCACAAAACCTCTTTTCTGACAGGGTTTATACTTTAATTCTTACTGGCTTTTCTCACTCTCTAAACAGGAATACACATGAGAAATAAATACATAAACAGTAGGGTGCATGGGTATTCCTGCAGCCTATTACTATTTCAGTGAATAGCAGCCAGGTTTATCCTAGCAAGGATAAAATCATTATTGCCACAAAAGTCTAATATAAAAACTTTTTTACATGGCAACTTTTGATTAATTACTAAGGAAAAAAAAAAAAGAAAAGAAAAAGCAGTGCTCCATTACTGAACTCCCTCCTTCATTTTCATTTTTACTAGCCTACTATTACCTGGTGTATTTTCTTATTGTTTTTAAGCAAGTTGTTGAATTCTGAATATGGAAATCTGGACTGCCTTACTGAGTGCCTTTTTGATCAATTTATTTTTGCCAAGAATTGAGAAAATGTACATTCAAAAGTGCTACACTTTTCAGAAATCTATTTACAGCCTCCCTGATGGTAGAAATACCCGATACAAAATATCTAAATGAACATATCTTAAAACATTTGGGGGGTGCGGGAAGAGTTATCAGGCGTTTCTGAGGATGGTGGGAGCTGCAGGGAGTTTTTTGCAGCACTGTCACACAGGTCAATACAAATATCCTGGATATTGTGCCAAAACACTTCTAATGTTTCAGTGAATCTCACTGACATTTTCTGTTGCATCCAACTCTCTAAAGTCTACCTGACTTCTTCCTTGGAAGGGCAGCTGTGTGTTTCCTGCTTGCTTTCAGGGCACAAACAGCTCACAGATTTCTGAGGACTTGGAGCAATGAATATTAATTAATGTAAAAATGACCTCATGACTCTGTTCCTGTTGGACATGCACCAGTAAAGGAGGGATTACAAAGGAAAGGCAGATGAACTCTGCAGAAGGAACAAGAACATTCCTGAGAGGAAAAAGCCCCCTGAGCATTACCCACAGTGGATCAGCTGAGCTTTGCCCACACCAGTGACAGCAGGTCTCAGGTGGCACTAAAGCCCCAGCAAGGTCCAAGCAGCTCTGGTCAAGTGAACCTGGACCAAGTGTGTCCACACCCCACCCTGCCCTCAGTGAAAACAGGATTTGATGTCCTGGGGTAGGAAAGACTGTGGATGGCACCGTGCATTTGGTACCAGCTTTACTGTAAAGCAGTCATTTCATAGGCAGTGTTAAGAAATAAATGGAAAAAAAATAATAAAAGAGAAAGACAGGAAAGTTGTGTATTTCTCTTTTCTTTATGTTTAAATCTGCTTCTTTATGTTCTATCTGCAATCTATAAGTCCTCTGGAGCATAAATACAAATAAGTTCAAACTGCTTAATAATTCTAAGAAGCCAAGATCTGGACACTCTACAGTTGGAGACTAAATACTGATTGATCCCTGAAAACAAGACATCAAAACCAGCTTTGGAGTGTACAAAATTGATTTCATTACATCTTGAAAGTATGAATTTGGGAAAAAATATCTGAGAAATAAATTGAGAGAAAAAAGACCTTTTGATTTCACACAAAGAGTAGTAGGAATGCTTTTCCTACCACTGCATGTCAGCAATTTGGAAAGTCAGTATGACCAAATGAAAACAGCAATGTGCTCTACATTTTTGTTCCAGCAGAAATATTAACTCAAATCCATG